TCAGCAGCTCCGCCCGGCCCAGGCTGCCGGCTCCCAGGGAGGAGGGAGGACTGAACCCGCTCTGCTCATCACTGCCCCGCGCCTGCTTCCTGCCTGTGAGGGGCAGCGCCTGTCCCGGAGGCTCCCCCATGAGACCCAGCAGGATGGGAATCCCTGCGCCTGCCACGCGGACAAGGAGCCGAGGCTCAGAGCGGAAAGGACGCTGGTGGGGCAGCCAGGACGGAGCCCGCTGGTCTGACCCCCACCCCCTCTCTGTGGGGCCCCACCCCCGCGCCTCCCAGGCAGATGCCCACGGCAGGCAGGCGCCCTGGTGGGAGGTGGGCCGTGGCTTTGGGGGTTTCTGGCCACGCCTCCCCCAGGCCCCCAGCATCCTGCTGGCTCCTCTCCCGTCCCTTCAGGGACACTGTGCCCCAGCTGAGGACCCTGACCACTGCCCAGACTCCTGCGCTCACCTCTCCTGCCCGGGGGCAGGGGGCCTGGGGCCACCCAGGGTCCTGCGAATGTAGTCTCGGGAGCGGATGTCGGCCTGAGAAGAGGGTGGCGCGTGAGGCGCTGGGTCCCCAGCTGGCCTCTGGGCAAGCCCTTCCGCCACTCGCTCTCCCCAAGAAAGCCCGGCCTCGGGGGCAGGTGACAGGAGGACAGCAGGTCCCAAGGCCTAAGGTGGGGATCCAGGCCCCCACATTTCAGCTGCAGCCACGCGGCTGCCCTGGTTTCCTGGCGGACAGCACCCTTAGCTGGTGTGGCCTGAGCCAAGGTCCCTGCCGAAACCCCTTCCCTGAGGGCCCAGCCCGGCGCCCCTCCCCCTGGGGTCAGCCAGTGCCCCGTCCCCAGGGCAGTGCAGAAACGCCCATGAAGTCCCCGAGTGGCCAGGGGCCCTGGGCCCCTGGACCTAGCAGCGCCCACCCCCCTCCCTCTCCCTCTCCCAGGAAGCAGTCGGGAGGGCAGTGCTGCCGGGCAGGGACCCAGAGACGTGGACCGAGGGACAGCAGAGTCGCTAGACAGCCTCACCCCACTGGCGACAGGGCCTGCCCCTCCAGCACAAGGGGCCAGCTCTGCGGTTGGAGCAGTTCCGGTCACACATGTGGGTGGACGCAGGACAGGCCCCTGGAGCCAGGGCCACGGGGCAGCTTGAGACCCACCACCGGCAC